ACATAGAACTAGCAGGCATACATAGTGTAATTCATCTAGAAAAGGCAGAAAGAAAGCTTCTTTCCCTTACTTAGTAATTTTCAGCTTGATGATGTCTCATGCACATTTAGCTATTGATGATAAGTAATATGTTGTTTGTTTTTCAAGATAGGGTTTCTCTGTAGCTTTGGAGCCTGTTCTGGAACTTGCTCTGTAGACCTGAATGGTCTCTAACTCACAGAGATGCACCTGCCTCTGCCTCCTGAGTGCTAGGATTAAAGGCGTGTGCCACCACCGCCTAGGTATAAAGTAATTTTTAAAGCATCTCTTTCTTCCCTCACTCCCCCTCTCTTCCAGGTCTCATGTAGCCTAGGCTAGATAGACAGCACCTTTAAGCTACCATGCCAAATTTATATGGTACTAGACATCAAACCTAGAGGCCTCATGCATGCTAGATAAGCACTATACCAACTGAGCTGTAGCCTCATCCCTAGCATCATTAATTCATAGATTGTTGTTTTCTTTTTGGTGATGATGACAAATGAACTCAATTTCACCCTCTTAGCAAATATTCCCACTAAGCTATACTCCTATCCTTAACTTGGAGATTTTGTGTTTCACTTGATTGTATAAAGATGCTTGAATTGTTCCCATATCCATTATTAGCTAGTGATCCTCTTCAGAGTGGCTGATCGTATAACTTTTGAGGCATAGGTAAAGGTATTCAGTGGGGAGATGAAATCAAGGAAGGAGCCAGAGGTTTTTGGCTAAGGTTCCTGGCTGTTGTCATTATTAACCAGAGAGCCCAGACAAAGAGCAAGTTTTAAAGAGAAGACATATTTGAGGCACTTAAGATAGATACATCTAGGTGAGGGTACCCTGAAAACAGATATCATCAGGATATAAGGCTCCAAGGAACAGTAGATGACTCTAGGAAAGGGCTCAATTGCTTTGTACACTTGACTCAGATTAGAATTAAATATGCAGTATTTTGTTTGATAAAACTTTTATCTGTTTGCTAGCTGGGAAGTGGTGGCTCATGTCTTTAATGCCAGTACTCGGGAGACAGACACAGGCGGATCGCTGTGAGACCAGCAAGGCCTACAAGAGTGAGTTCTCGGACAGCCTCCAAAGCCACAGAGAGGCCCTGTCTCAAAAAAACACAAACAAAAAAACCAAACAAACAAAAACCAACTTCATCTGTTTGCTAGCTAGAGCCTAACTCTACCCTAAAGAAGACTTGCAAGACTCAGCTGCTCTATCTGTCTCTTTGGAGAGTCAAGTAAGGTAGGGTGGCTGATGGCAGGAGCTATCTGCTCCCTTTGCAACCAGCTGGTTCTCTTGGTCTTCAACTTTATTACATTCATTCCCTCAGCCTTAGGGTTAGACTGGGAGAACTGGTTTCGCTTTACAGAAATGGCCTAGGGGCAGATTTCTTGGAAATTAGTTATGTTCTTGAAGGAATTTTTTTCCTTCTTCCTTGTTGCTGGATTTTGGACCAACTCCTGTTTCCTTTTTCAGCAGAAATATTTATTAACTTCCTGCTTTTTTTTTTTTTGGTTTTTTGAGACAGGGTTTCTCTGTATTGTTTTGGAGGCTGTCCTGGAATCGGCTCTGTAGTCCAGCCTGGCCTTGAACTCACAGAGATCCACCTGCCTCTGCCTCCCGAGTGCTGGGATTAAAGGCGTGCGCCACCAACGCCCGGCAACTTCCTGCTTTTTAGTCATGTATGATACAATAATCATCAGAAATACAGGGCACAGTCTCAGATAGATTGGAATCTAATGGGACGTGTGTGTGTGTGTGTGTGTGTGTGTGTGTGTGTGTGTGTGTGTGTGTGTAAGTCAAAACATCACTTACATCATATATAGTAAATAGAAGATAATAGTAGAAAATCCTTTACTCCCAACACTAGATTTTCATTGGAAGATCTAGTATCAAGTAGGTGTAAAAAGTAGAAAATGCTTATGTATCCAGGGCCCAATACATGGATTTGCATAGCATGTGACTTTATCTGCTGAGCCATTTTAATAGACTATGGTCAGGTTTTTAAAAATTATCATTACTTTTATTTTTGAATGTATAGCCGGGTGGTGGCGGCGCACGCCTTTAATCCCAGCACTCTTGAGGCAGAGGCAGGCGGATCTCTGTGAGTTCGAGGCTAGCCTGCTCTGCAAGAGCTAGTTCCAGGACAGCCTCCAAAGTCACAGAGAAACCCTGTCTTGAAGAACAAAAAACAAAACAAACAAACAAACAAACAAAAATACATGTATTCCTCTGTGTGTCAGTGGACAACACACAGAAATCGGTTTCCTCCCTCCTCCATGTGGGTTCCCAGGGATCAAACTCAGGTTGTCAGACTTGGCAGCGGGTCCCTTTACCCACTGCACCATCTTATTTATGTTTCCCTAATAATTTTCTTACCCAATTCTGTCATAGTATTGATAATATCTATTATCATGTAAGTGTTTAGTGTATTTTCATTACCAATGGGTTAGCATTGACTGGTAGGACAGTGAGGCTGCCATATGAGCACCTTTAGAGCAAGGACCACCATACGACAGTGTAGTATCTTCCTCAGAGTAGAACATGTGCATTTGTAGAAATGGATGAAAATCTCCAGTACCTGGAATGCTTCATTAGTCATAATACTTAAGCCCCTCCTCCCCCACAATGTTTAAAATAAAACATCTCCTTAGCAGAAGGCAAAGCAACATCACTCTGCTTAGTGCATTTTCTGCAGTCAGGTGCTCCCCTTGCAGTCTTTGGCGGTGTTTCCTTCATTTGACTGCAGTTTCATTGTTCATCTTCAGCTGAACTAAACCCTTTCCTTTGTCATGGTGGATGATCTCTATCAAAGGCCTAACACATGACAACCGGAGAGTCTTGGCTGGTATTTTGTATTTTCTCTTTTAAGCTTTGCATGGTTAAAAAGAAGTTTAAAACATTTCTGTATATTTGAGCTTCTGAAATCACCAGAAGTCTGTCTATAAATGTGGTCCCACAGGCTTCCAGACTTTCATGAAACATTCTTTAGAGAAAGACTGAAATGGTTGCGGTGACCTTGTGGCCACTGGAAGTACATAGAGTCTTTTAATTACATTGAATACTGAACTTATATTAGTCTTGATATCTGCTCCAACTTTAGAATTTGGCAAAGGTCATTAAATATGGCATTTGGCATTAACAGAGAGTTTTTACTTCTACCCTTAAAGCTCTGTGATACAATGAAAGGAGTGAGAAATCAGGATATTTCATTTTCTTTTCAATTGATTTGATGATCTGCCTTATCCTTTCTTTGGGTTTTGATTTCTGTATCTATAAATGGAAGATGTAACCAAATGTCTTATAGTCTATAACTAAGGTTCCACCCCACATTTGGATTCAGATGCAGTGCTGGTGTAAGAGGTTTATTCATCTACCTTGTCTGTATTACAAAGGTAAAATTAGGAAGTAAAAAATGTCCCTAATGCCGGGCGGTGGTGGCACATACCATTAATCCTGGCAGGCGGATCTCTGTGAGTTCGAGGCTGGGCTGGACCAACAGCCTCCAAAACAATACAGAGAAACCCTGTCTTGTAAAACCAAAAAAAAAAAAAAAAAGAAGAAGAAGAAGAGAAAAGTCCCTAACTCATTTTCTTTTTTTCCCTTTCCTTATCACAAATTCCAGGACTAAAACAGAATCTTGAGTGACTTGTGTTCTCTGCAGTAGCTTTTCAGCAGTCCCCAGAGCTTTAGCTGATATCAGAGCTTATCTGTGACATCTCATAGGCAGTGAGGTGCATGTTCACCTTTCTCCTGCTGCTTACCAGAAAATCCTCTACAGCGTGCTAGAGAAAAAGCAGATTCTCTCTCTCCCTCTCCCTTGCGTGCGTGCGTGCGTGCGTGCGTGCGTGCGTGCGTGTGTGTGTGTGTGTGTGTTGATTAGTTGGCTGGGTGGGTTGATAAGTAGTTTAGTGGCAGTGGCAAACATTTATTTTTAGGTGAATTGTATCCGTTTCTTTATTTCTAAATAATTGATGACTTTTTTTAACCTTTCTTTGGAAGATCATTCTAGTGTGTACTATTGTTGGTTAAGAAAACCCTTAGATGCCAGTACTAATTCTCAAACCTAAGCTGAAGAAAAAGAGAACTTTGTTAAAACGAATTCATTTCTACTCCCCTTGTTTCTGGAGCTTGCTGTCTCCTGTCTTGTTTTGGTTTGGTTTTCCTCTTTGTGTGGTGCTAGGGCTCAAGGCCAGGACGGTCAGTGTGATGGCTTGCCCTTCATCTGTGTCTTTTCATGCCTGCATGGACAGCTCAGCGTTTGGCCAGGTGCCATTTGCTCATCGCCTAGCTCTGCCAGCCCTGGCAGCTCCCTGGCAAGGAATGAGAGGTTGAAGTATATTTGCTAACCCTTTCTCACTTCACTGAGTGTTCAGAAATCAGGGAGGCTTTAGAATGGTGGCGGCTTAACATCTTCAGCACCTTAAGAATGAAACAAGAGGCCTACTCTAAAAGATGTAGCCTTTTGACTGGGGGGTAGGAATTGTAACATTTAGTTTCCAAAAGGATTTTGAAGTCCTGCTTTCCTTTCTCTAGTTCTTTCAAGAATGTACTTTCTGATATCTAACCCATCCAGAGTATAGAAAACCAAAAGTTAAAGGGGGCCCTGTGACTAGCTCCTAGCCTAAGTTCAATTTTCTCAGAAGAATTTGCCTTGTCATTGTTTATTATAATGACAAAAAACAGAGAATCTTAACTTCAACTCTTAAAAAAAAATTGAACAAAATCCTTTTGTTAAACCGGGGTCGCTTTACCTTTTCTTTGGGTCAAAGTTTTTAGCCCTAAATGTTCTAATCTAGAGTTTAGAAAGATAGTGTAGCATGGGGGGGGGAAGAGAGAGAGAGAGAGAGAGAGAGAGAGAGAGAGAGAGAGAGAGAGAGAGAGAGAGAGAGAGAGAGAGAGAGAGAGAGAGAGAGAGAGAGCATACTGGAACCCTTTTAAATTTAGTTCTTCAAAAATTTAGTTTTTGGACTCTTCCTTCCTTCCTTCTTCCTTCCTTCCTAAAATTTTAGGATCTGTTTCAGACTGGAAGAGTGTTTCACCTTAAACGTGCCTGTATTAGTTCTCAGAAAGGCATGTGAGGCAGTATTGCTAACTGAGGAAAAAAGTCTATCAGTTCCACTCAGATAACCTTTGGTAATAAACGCACTCCATGCACACTGTGACCTTAGAGCCTGAACTTTGTAGTCACATGACCAGCTTGTAAACTGACCTTTGAGGATGACTGTCCTCCGCTCTGCTTAGAGAAAGAAATTGACCAAGTGTGGGAAGGGTAGTCATCAAGCTGGCTTTGCTCTGTAATCTCAGTTTCTTCATGGCTTCGGTAGAACTTCTCAGCAGACGCGGAGAAGCATGAAATGGAGACATGGGAAGGTAAGGAAACAGGACTGAGGTCTGCCGTTTAGAAAAATTCCAGGAAGGTTTAGATCAGATCCACAGACAGCTGTTTTTTTGTATCTTGACAGAATTCAGCCAACAGGTTTATTTACAGGAATTGGCTACAGATGTGAAATACAGAAAGACGCTTTGGGAAACTACAGTGAATTGATTGTTGAAGGTGTTGTTAGGAAAAAGCAGGGAAGGGAGGGGTGGTAAGTTTGAATTTTATATCGATTTAAAAAAAACTTCAAGTTTCAGTACATAGTAAATTTTACCTTTAAACATTGTGGGTTTTACCTCTTGACAGAATTTGTTTGTATTTTTAATTCTTTAATCCAGTTTACAATCTGCCAAAGCCTTATTTAGTACTGTTAATTGTAGATGGAGTTGGGGTCATGAGGCCATTGATAAGGTAGCCTCATCCTCTTGGGGGACTTAAAGCTTTATGGTTTGGAGTACATTGCTAATTCTTTTTAAGTGTATTTTAAGTGAGTAGGTTATTCTCCCTGTGTGTGTATATAAATAATGCTGACTAGTTATTGTTATAACTTGTTTATATTGAATAGATTCCTACTTATATATATTATTATTTGGACCAAGAAAGTAAAATACATCTAACAAGCAGTGAGTTTTAACATCGGTGATTTACTATGTTGATAATGTAGAGTCTAAGAGTTTGATTTCTTATTGGTAGTTATTACCGAGCTGAAAGAGTTCTCAAGTCTTTGAATTAATTGATAAATTTCTAGGAAAGGCAGTAACCCCACAAAATCTTCCGGAGGAAACTTCCTAGCCCCTTTTAGCATGGCTAACATCTGTCATAGGCAGTTTGGCAGTTTTGTAATCATTCTGGGGCTGTGAGACTCCCACTCCAAATAGTGTTTGTCTTTATACATTGTTGCTCTCCTTTCTTAGATGTCGTTTTCCAGCTCATTGTAAGCCAGCATTACTGCATTGGTGGTTATTGTAAGTTAGAAACAAATACTGGAGAAATAATCAACTATGTATAAGACTTGTAGTTTCATCATAAACAGTCTCTTTCTTTAATATATACATAGTAATTCTTATTAAGTTACTCTTGAATGTGTTAGATATATTTTATAGAAAGAAATTTCTTAAGAACTAAGATTTTCTTGGGATTTATTGGGTAGTTTAGGGATAGGCAGAGGTACATAGCAGTGGGTGTATTTGTTTGTAAGGAACAGTTGTAGAGAATTTAGAGTTTTGGGGGAGGTTTATTTCCCATCTATTTGAATTTCTTAGTGATACATAGTCCACTCACTCCTGATGCCTAGATGATTCTCCCAAAATGTATATTCCATTAATTCCTAAAGCTTCAATTCAATTTTTCTTAGCCATTCAGTAGTAGAAAATAACTTTGGGTACTAAAAGGAGAACACGTACAAAACAAGAAAATGTTATAGTTTCACCAAATCTTTCCTACTAAACTCCAGAAAGCAAAATTAATTATCCCAGATGAATGAGGTCTCTGGAAGCTTAAAAGGCAAAATTAACTGCTTACAAAAATCAGTGAAAATGCTACTGTAAAAAAAAAAAAAGGCATTCCTTGGTTTTAGATATTGGGCCCTTGTCCATTTAAATTAACCTTTGTCACAGCTGGGCATGCAAATGTTTTGTTTTAGTTCACAGAGGGTTAACTCTATTCAAGCCTTCATTGTGGCCGGCCTGATCTGTGGAGTCATACAATCTGGTCTTTCAGCCTGCCAGTCGCTAGGCAGGAAGTCTTATTTCTTAAGCTATCTTTCAGAATGGGGGGTTGGGATTTGGAGAAAGGTGGGGGAAGGGTCTTGGAGCATCTGTAAGGATCAATAACAGAGGCAGAGAGCCGCTAGAAAGGCTATTGTGGACACTTCAAGATAGATGCAACCCTTGTGGACAGCCCCTCTGGCAGGACAGACACCTAAAACCAAAACAATGCTACAAAACAAAATTTCCCGTGAAAACAGGAATGCTCCTTAAAAGAGAAAACGTTTTAGTAGCTTTAGTGCCTTTCAACATTTGGGAATGTTTTCATTCTGCAACTTGTAGAGCTTAGCTCCTGTTAGAAATCACTTCAAATTGATTTTTAAATGCCTTTTGTCTTCATGCTGGCACTGTGTGGAACTGGAAAGGACGAGCATCTTAGTAGTGGTTGTATGTATCTAGACACAGAATTTTTAGTTAATATTTTTCTTTCTTTCCTCCCTTTTTTCTTTTGTATTCTAACATTTGCTTCACTTACTGGTTTTCCATCAATGAGAAAATGTGGGTGGGAGGTTGGGGATAAAAACTTTGCTTAGGATTTGTGTAACACGTGTGAAATCCCTCCCCCAACCTTGGCTCTTGAAAGTTGAATTGAACTAAACAGATGCTCTTAGTATGTTATTTGAGATTATTTAGGCCCAGGTTTGTAGTCTAAGATATGTACAAAAATCACAGAATTTATCTTAAAGCACACTGATATTGTAAAATTGTTACATGTTAATGTCTATTAAATGTTAAACAAAAATGCCTGAGTTGGGGAAAGTGAGCAGTTCTGCCAATTAAATTGTGGGGTTGATGATTTAAAGGGTTTGTTATTCCTTTGCTTCGGTGCAGATTTTCATCTGCCAAGCTTCTTTGCCTAAGAACAACTGTAAGGTCCCTATTTTGCTTTATCTTTTTCCAGAGGACCAAGGGGTTAATTCAGTGGCTTCTTTTATTATGCACACTGCTTATGTCAGATGAAAACGTAATGGAGTAGTTGCTGTCTCTTTTCCACTAACCCTTCAAAGTATTAATAACAACTAATGGTAAGAACTGAGAAAAATGAATCAAAAAACAGCCTCTAATTCTTCCCCCACTTTGAAATCTTATGGGAATAATTGAATGAAACAGCTAGGGGTCCAAAATGTGACTTGCAGACTTACAAATGAAATAAGGGGGGGGCACCTGCATTTGACATCAGCAAGTTCAATTTAATTAGGCTTCTTGAATTAACAAGACCTGCTTATTTTGAACAATTTGAGCTAACACTTAGCTTAGACATTTCATGAATCTTCTGGATATCTTTAGCACATTTTTAGTTCATATCCCTTTGTTGGAGAAAAATGTAAGAAAAGAAAATCTGATGTAACCACTGCAACTAGTGCCTGCCTAATAGGACCTTTTCTTCTTCTCGGATACATTGTAATTCTGCACTTATATTTAAACCAAAGAATATTGTTAACAAAACTTGCGAGTTTAGTTACTGTATACATTGTATTAAAATAGGGTATGAGACCCACCATGACCCCTTTGAACAAAGTGGTCTTTAATGTGTATTGGGGGAGGGCCTAGTGAAAGGAACGCCGTAAATGTTTTCAGGGTTCAAAATGAGGTTGGGATTTGGGCTCACACACAGATATCACTGCAATCATGTTTGATTTAACATCCTTAATACATTGAGGTGGGAAAGACTATCAGAGGGACAAGCATGAAAAGTGCGCACGCACACTCACACACACACACCAATTTTTTTCTCAGCTCATTCTCTGTGTTACCTTGCTACTGAGGTTTTTCTTTAATATAAGGATTTAATGTTTTTACAAGATTCTTATTTTTACAAGCCTCAGTAGTTTATTGAAGCAATTGAAGTGCATCCACATCTAAAATATTTTTTTAGTAAAGTTCAAAATACCATAATTGTGGAAATGCACCTATCTGTATGTCATGGTTAAGAGTTTGAGGGTATTTCCAATGTCCAGCTGATTTATATGTTTTGAAAAGTCTGAAAAATGTAAAGGTCATTGCTGACTCAGGATCTCACACTGTGATCCATGGACCTTGAATTCATTAGGGTGAGAAGCAGGAAGGGTCAGGCCTTACCAGGCTGATGGGTCTGGAAGACTTTTCAGTAGGACCAGTTAGAATTCCTGTAGAATTTTTAAGACATCAGAATAACCTCAAACTGCTGCTATTTCTGTTACCAGAGTGGATCCCTTGGTCTCTGTGGTAAAAGCTAGCCCCTGCTGTCTAAATGGCTCATTCTTGACTACATGGCTTGCTACTGACTTTCTGGTGTTGGGGAGTAAATTTCATCAGCCTGATTCTGTTACTTGGGAAGCTCACTTTGACTACAGCAGGGACAGTAACAGCTATCCTCTGTAAGCTGTTATGGACACTAAGACAGCATCTGTGAGAGTACCTGTGACATGGTTAAAATGGCTTGAAATGGGAATGTTTTTTCCAAGAGTAGCAAATTTAGGAAGGTTAGGAAAGAGTTCTTGGGTAAGCGTGTGTGCGGCTCATGCTGTTTATACCTTAAGGGAAAAGGTCCCCAGGGGTTGTTTCAGTTCAGTAGGTGATAATCAGTACTTTGGAGCTTCAGCCTTGAATGCTGTATAACCAGTGAGACAGGCTGCAGAGCAAGCTGTGCTGTGCTAGTGAAGACTAGTGAATGCCTGCAAACGCCCTGAGTTTTTCTTCTAGAATCTTTTGCAACTGTGTTGAATGGACGAGGGAAAAAAGAGTTGACCTTTAAGACAATAGAGAGGTCCAATCATAATCCAGAATAAAGGATAGTAAAATAATGAAAAGTTGTGCATACTAGATTAATATATACAGGAGTAAGTAAACTACCATAGGCAGACAATGAATAATCAGGAATCGCTTAATGATGTCCTGTTTCTGTTTCATTTTTTTTCCTTTTTTCTTCTTTCTTTCTTCCTCCCCCCCCCATTTTGAAACAGGGTTTCTCTGTATAGCATTTCTAGCTTATTCTGCTTTGTAGACCAGGCTGGCCTCAAACTTACAGTAATTTACCTGTTTCTGCCTCCCAAGTGCTAGGGTTAAAAGTGTGTGCCCCCATCACCCAGCTTGTTTTTTTCTTTTTAATTTTATAATATATTGGGCTATAGAGATGGCCAGCAGAGAATTCCAGTATGGCTCCCTATAGCTCCAGCTCCAAGGGATTTGACACCTCCTGCACTCACACAGTATTCACATAACTAAAAAATTTAAAAAGTACTTCAAAA